GGCAAATACATGCAAGCTTGTAGAGTAATTTGCCAGGCGGAGAGCTGAGGAGAGCACCCTGTTATGTTCCCCTAGCCCTGGCCTCGCTGATCGAGAAGTGTCCCAAAGACAACAAGGACTGCAGCTCCTATGGCAGCTTCAGCGACGCAGTGCTGGAACTCTTCAAGCTCACCATAGGCCTGGGCGACCTGAACATCCAGCAGAACTCCAAGTATCCCATTCTCTTTCTGTTCCTGCTCATCACCTATGTCATCCTCACCTTTGTTCTGCTCCTCAACATGCTCATTGCCTTGATGGGAGAGACTGTGGAGAATGTCTCCAAGGAGAGCGAGCGCATTTGGCGCCTGCAGGTGAGTCTAGGCAGAGACCCCAGTGTGGGGGCCTCCCCAGGACTCAGTTCAGCACATGGTCATTGACTACCATCAGCACCCATCTAATCATCCATCCATCCATCCATCCATTCCATCATCTATCCATTCAGTCATCATCCATCTATCCATCCATCCATCCATCTATCCATCTATCCATCCATCCATCCATCCATCCAATCATCTGTCCATCTAATCATCCATCCATTTATCCACCCATCTAATCATCCATCCATCCATCCACCCATCCACCCATCTAATCATCCATCCATCTATCCAATCATCCACCCATCTAATCATCCATCCATCCAATCATCCATCCGTCCAATCATCCATCCATCCATCCAATCATTCAGTCATCATCTATCCATCCATCTATCCCTCCATCCATCCATCCATCCAGCAGTGAACCTCTACTATGGTTTGTTCTCAGGTCTGGGGTGGGGCCTGAGAATCTGCAGAAGCTCCGCAGTGTTTGTTCAGGTTTGAGGAAGCTTTAGCCTATGTTCTTTGAGTGTAGGGTCTAGGAGGTGTGGCTGTGCAACAGCATGTGTAGAAAAACTCAAGCTTATAGGGGTGCCCTGTTCAGGGTTGATTGTGTGATGTGCGGATGTTGAAGTATGACCTTAGGTTGCATTGAGAGGAATATGGCGTCTAGGACAATGGAGGTGACAGTTTTGCTCTATTTCATCCTGGCCTTAACACTTTTTACGTGCTAAGGAAAACAATACATAGGATGCGTCCAGAGGTGGTAACCAGGTTTGGGAGAGGACTGGAGACTGTCTTAAGAAATGGTTGTTGGCAGCCTGGTATGGTGGCTCACCCCTGTAATACCGGCACTTTGGAAGGCTGAGGTGGGTGGATCACCTGAGGTCAAGAGTTTGAGACCACCTTGGCCAACATGGCGAAACCTCATCTCTACTAAAAATACAAAAACTAGCCAGGTGTGGTGGTGCGGGCTTGTAATCCCAGCTACCCTAGAGTCTGAGGCAGGAGAATCGCTTGAACCCAAGGGATGGAGGTTGCAATGAGTCGAGATCGTGTCATTGCGCTCCAGCCTGAGTGACAGAGCAAAAACTGTGTCTCAAAAGGAAAAAAAAAAAAAAAAAAAAGAAACGGTTGTTGGAACTAGGTTTGAAAAAGGTGAGAGTTCCTTCAGGTATCTTCAGAGCAGCCTGTGGAAGAGGGAGCAGACCCCTTCTGTGGTCCCGGGAGGCAGGTGTACATGGGGAGAAAAGCTTTCATGTAACCCATTTCTCATTATTAAGGCCCTCCTTTTTTTTTTTTTTTGAGACAAGGTCTTGCCCTGTCACCCAGGCTGGAGTGCAGTGGCGCTATCTCGGCTTACTGCAACCTCCGCTTCCTGGGCTCAAGTGATTCTCCCACCTCAGCCTCCCAAGGAGCTGTGACTACAGGCATGTGCCACCACGCCTGGCTCATTTTTAAATTTTTTGTAGAGATGGGGTTTCACCATGTTGCCTAGACTGGTTTTGAACTCCTAAGCCCAGGTGGTCTGCCTGCCTCTGTCTCAAAGTGCTGGGATTACAGGTGTGAGCCACCTCGCCTGCCTATTAAGGCCCTCTTAATTGGATTGTTGATATTGTTGAAGAGAGACTGGGAAAACAAGGATTACAATGTCTAGGACAATGCAGAGGGGATTCCAAGCTTGGAAGAGGGTGGGACTAAATGGTGTTTGAAGCGTCCCCTACCGTGGGATTCTAGGATCCAGCACTTTTCCGATAGGAAGCTCCTGGCCTTTCGGAAATATTATTTATATCTGGTGCCCAGGCTGGAGTACAATGGCACAAGCTCAGCTCACTGCAACCTCTGCCCTCGCCCCACAGGGTTCAAGTGATTCTCCTGCCTCAGCCTCCCGAGTAGTTGGGATTACAGGTGCCCAACACCACGCCCGGCTAATTTTTGTGTTTTTAATAGAGACTAGGCTTCACCATGCTGGCCAGGCTGGTCTCTAACTGCTGACCTCAGGTGATCCTCCCGCCTCAGCCTCCCAAAGTGCTGGGATTACGGGTGTGAGCCACCGCGCCCGGCCTCCTTTTTTGTCTTTGTAGATGAGCCAAACCCTTGGGATCTATGCATTAAGCATGGGGCAAGGGTGAAGTGGGTGCCCTGGCAGCATGTGTGCGCTTGTGTGTTTCTGTGAGTGTGCATGCATACTCCATAGAGTGCGAGCTCTGGTGGTGTGTGTGTGCTTGTGTATTCCTGAGTGTGCATGCATACTCCATAGAGTGCGTGCCCTGGTGGTGTGTGTGCGCTTGTGTATTCCTGAGTGTGCATGCATACTCCATAGAGTGCGTGCCCTGGTGGTGTGTGTGCGCTTGTGTGCGGTTGTGAGTGTGCATGCATACTCCATAGAGTGTGTGCCGTGGTGGCGTGTGTGCGCTTGTGTGCGGTTGTGAGTGTGCATGCATACTCCATAGAGTGTGCGCCCTGGTGGTGTGTGTGCGCTTGTGTATTCCTGAGCGTGCATGCATACTCCATAGAGTGCGCGCCCTGGTGGCGTGTGTGCGCTTGTGTGCAGTTGTGAGTGTGCATGCATACTCCATAGGCTTGCTTATGTCCCCAGAGAGCCAGGACCATCTTGGAATTTGAGAAAATGTTACCAGAATGGCTGAGGAGCAGATTCCGGATGGGGGAGATGTGTAAAGTGGCCGAGGAAGATTTCCGACTGTGTTTGCGGTAACAGAGGGCCCTGGGGTGGTGGGCTTTGGGGTAGGTAGAGAGGGGCAGGTCAGCTTGCTCACCATAACCACAGCTACCTTCTGTCCCGGGGCCTCTCAAAGGAAGGAAGATGTTTATGGGGTTGCAGGGCTTGGGATGGGGGTTCCCGAGCTCCAAAAGGGAAGGGAAGGAGACTGGCGGCATGGGTCCTTTCTCTGCTTTTCTGGAGGTGCCTCCAGGGTCTCTGTCCATTCACTGTCTGGTGTGGGGGAGATCTGCCCACTTGGTACTCCTTTTCCTGCTGTGTACCCTGTGTGAGTTCCTGTGACCCCAGAGGACGTGAGGTGCATTTGCCCCTGGCAGACGGAAGGTGACATGGCTGCTTTGACAGATCTTTTTTGATTAAAAAAAAAAAATCCTTACATGTCTCATGACCACCTTTTCTTTTTCTTTTGAACAAAGTTTCACTCCATCTCCCAGGCTGGAGTGCAGTGGCACGACCTCTGCTCACTGCAGTCTACCAGGTTCAAGCGATTCTCCTGCCTCAGCCGCTCAAATGCCTGGGATCACAGGCACGTGCCACCACGCCTGGCTAATTTTTATATTTTTAGTAGAGATGGGGGTTTCATCATGTTGGCCAGGCTGGTCTAGAACTCCTGGCCACAAGTGATTCAGCCCCCTCAGCCTCCCAAAGTGCTGGGATTACAGGTGTGAGCCACCGCACCCGGCCCCATGACCACCTTTTCTGATAAGCCCACGCCCTCCTTCCCTGACCCAGCTTCCCAAGCCTACAGACCACCTTTTTTGAGTATGACCAAACGTTAACCCACGTCTCTGCTGAAATCCCAGCCCCTGGACAGCAGCATTTCTGACCGCAGTCGTTACCCTAACAAGTATTTCTGACGTTGCCACACTCGCTCTAGAGATGTTCTCTGAACGTGAATTTAGGTCAAATCAGTGCCTGCCATTCCATTCTAACACCTCAGATGCCACCCTCTCTCGTTGGTCACGGGCCCTAATCACATGCTCCTAGTACCTCCTCAACCCTCGTGACACTTGGAGTTTAATCTTCACGCCCTCATGGCCCGGGCCCTCCCTCTGTCTGTCCCTGCTTCCCCGTGGGCTGTCACCCGTCAGGTACAGCTGCACAGTGTGAAGTTGTACCCTTGACACTGTCCGAGCAACTTGCAGGATTTCTGAGTTCCATACAGTGGAAGGAGAGCTGAGTCCTTGAGGCCCGGGGAAATGGAGATGGGTATAGAGTTGAAACTCTGACAACGCTGGTGTGACCGCTCGGGGCAGGGGTGCTCCTGATCTCTAGGACAGACAGAAGGGGAGCTGTGTAGACACCGGGACGCCCAAGCGCAGGGCTGTTTGTTTGCATCCAGTGAGGCAATGGCGAAATAGTAAGAACGATGGCTGCACTTGCAGGATCAATGAAGTGAAGTGGACTGAATGGAAAACACACGTCTCCTTCCTTAACGAAGACCCGGGGCCTGGGAGGCGAACAGGTACTGTTGCTGTGAGGTGACACGGCGTGCATTCCTGTCTGAGACCATGTGACCTGGGGCCGATCAAGTCTAAGGCGCCTGATTTCCCCATCTGTCAAATGGGAGGGATGAATGGAAGTGCCTCTTAGGTCTCTTCCAGCTCTGACTTTTAGAACCCGAGTTGGAACAACTTTTAAAACGGTATAGCCTTAAGCCATAGAAACACATCAGCGGAGTGATATATTTCTAAATATGTATGTATATATATGTGTGTATATATATATATATATACACACATATATATACACACACACACGTATGTTGTTTTTTTAAGATGGAGTCTCTGTCTGTCACCCTGGTTGGAGTGCAGTGGCGCAATCTTGGCTCACTACAACCTCTGCCTCCTGGGTTCAAGGGATTCTCCTGCCTCAGCCTCCTTGAGTAGCTGGGCTACAGGTGTGCGCCACCACCCCTAGCTATTTTTTTTTTTTTTTTGTATTTTTAGTAGAGATGAGATTTCACCATGTTGTTCAGGCTGGTCTTGAACTCTCGACCTCAGGTGATCCGCCCACCTTGGTCTCCCAAAGTGCTGGGATTACAGGTGTGAGCCACCGCGTCTGGCCTCTAAAATATATCTTTTTTCAAAAGCAGATTTCAACAAAATCCAAGAGTCTTCCAGGAACAACAGCAAAACCACTCTCAATGCGTTTGAAGAAATAGAGGAATTCCCAGAAACGTCGGTGTAGAAGCGTCACCCACAGCTGGTGTGTGCGTGGGCTGTCTGGTGCTGCAGGCGGAGTCACGGATGTGCTGAGGGCTTTGAGGAGTGGTGGAACCTGGCTCTGCTGGCCTAGACGTAGAACACACCCTCATGCTGAGTGGGTATCTGGACTGAAGGGCAGTTGGCGGTTTGTCTGAGTGGGAAACATCCTAAATTTTGTTATTTGGCAAAAAGCTTGTGTAAACCCACAGCCAGCCACAGTCCGGAGCCTCGGACACCCCTAAAGTTCTGGGTGAAGCCTCTGGTTTTACCAATTGCAGGTCGGCTTGGCTGGGAGAGGTGGGTGGCAGGGAAGGGGCCTTGAAGAGCGGGGAGAGGAGGCTTTCCTCCTGCCAGCTTCCCCGTGTCAGCCCTGGCCCCAGTCCACACATTCTACCATCTCACAGGGTTGCCTGAATTTGTGGGAGACCCTTGATCCCATCCCAGAATGTGCAAGGGACGAGGTAAGCCAGATATCCTGGGAGAGGAGGGGAGTGAGCTTTGGAAATGACCTTCGGGAACTCTTCAGGGAAAAGGAAGCCATCCTTGGAGTGAGCATCCCCTGAAACCCCAAGGATCAAACTGTCTCAAATGGAGAGATGTTTTTAGTAGCATAATTGACACAGGGTTTATGTTCAGTATGGAAAAGACATTTCAGTTAAGAATGAACATTACTACAATGAAGTATTGATTTTAAAAGTGGAGACAGATCAGGGGCTTTCGGGCTGGATGTAAGTAAATATATCTGGCCTCAGGGTTGGCAGAGCAAGACAAAAAGCTTTTCTTCACACACACAAAAGTCTGCGTGAGAGGCGTGGGGCAGGTCCTGCCGGGCCGCCGCGATCTGGGTGAAAGGGCCTGGCTCTTTTCCTTGTCCCCGGCCTTGCCGCAGCGCACGCCCCCGCACTGGGATCCTGGCTTCCGCAGAAGCAGAAATAGCAGCTGCTCCGTCTCTACCATGTTAGAGCTCAGGACGTCTCAGTGGGGGAATTTAACAAAACGCCTGAACTGCTTTGGTACAAAGTTTTGTGTTTTTTTTTAACTGTGAATTTTGAAGCTGAAGGGGAAGCTTGTGAGAGAGAAACATTTGCCAAGACTTTGGGCTTATTTTTAGGTCCTCATCCTCTGATGTCCTCCCTTGGAAATGACACGGAGTCAGTCTGGGGGCAGAGGGGAAGTGGAGACGGAAGGATTTTCCGGGTAACTGGGGCCTAAGCCGCTAGAAAATCTCCTCTGCTCCCATTATCTGGTGAAAGGATTCATGTAAAAATTACAAAAATAGTAACATAAGTTTTATAAGAAATAGAAATTTGGCCTCTGGATGACATGGCAATTGACGAGTTAATCTGGTTTGAGGCAGATTGAGGAGTCCAGGCCTGGCAGTGCACTTGGGACGAGTTTCTCTGCTCTGGGCCACTCCATGTGCCAGACTAGCTGAGCAGGTGGAGACTCAGCCTCCGTGCCCCTAATGGGGCTGGTTGGGGAGAGGGGGTCTGGGGTGTGAGAGGCGTCACAACCCCAGCAGCCCCTGTCCTCCCAGCTGACTTAGGGAGGAACCACGTGCTCTGAGCCTCAGCGGTCAGACCAGGCTCTGAGGGGGAACGGGGCTGGGCATGGGCCCCTGGAGAAGAGAAGATTGGAGGGGGCCTGTCCTGAGGCAGAAGGAGCAGATGCATTCTAGAATGGGCAGAACTAGTCAACTGAGGAGGACTTCGGCTCAATCCAACCCAGCAACTGGTCCAGATATTGGAGATCTTTAAGCAAAAGCTGGTTGAGCACTTCATGAGGCATGTGGTTGAAAACGGTCATTGGATGAAGTGTAAGGTCCCTTTAGCCTAGAGAGTCTGCCGATCAGCATTCCACAGGTGGAGTCAGCTACCTCTGTTAAGCCCGAACAGACCTCTTGTTTGAAAGGAAGTGGTTTGGATCCATGGTGCCGGGTTCTACACCACTGAGCTGGGAATTCCAGAACTGCTTTACTCAGATGTTAATGGATAAAGCCATACCCACTAACGGATGAGGTTATCTGTTATGGATAAAGCCATATCCAGAATTGCTTTGACTCAGATATTAATGGATAAAGCCAATGATTGATTTCTATTTGCCTAACCTGCCAGCTTGTGTCCAAGTGAGAAATGGAGAGCCACAGGGATCTTTGTCATCTCGCATTATGGAGCGCTGCTCTCTGTGGCTCTGGATGGAATTTGTTGGCAAGACCCTTTTCTTTTCTCTTTTCTCCCTTCCTTCCCTCCATCCTTCCCTCTTTCCTTCCCTCCTTCCCTTCTTCCCTCCTTCCTTCCCTCCCTCCCTCCCTCCTTTCTTTCTTTCTTCCCTCCCTTCCTTCCTTCCTTCCTTCCTTTTCTTTCTTTCTTTCTTTCTTTCTT